AGAGAGTCTCCTGACTGAGAACAGAGAAGTTGCTTTACCAAGCATTGTAGCTGCAGCAGACAGGCAGTGGTGAATCAGTACTAAGAAGAGACGAGAGTAAACTGTACAGGGCCGTGATTTATCCTGTTTCTGGGTTGATGAGTGTGTGGTTGATGAGTTTGCGCTTTGTCTGGTAGCAATAACATGCAGAAGAGATGAGTAGAATAGCAAAGCAGAATATGGTAGTGTTAAAAACGATGGCACTTTTCCCATTAGATTATTTTTGTGAGGGTGGTCGAATGACAAAGTAAGGCCTCTAAGACATTGAATTGTGGTTTGTAGAATTAGTAAGCCATTTAGTCTCTTTCTGTGACTAAATTGTTTTTCTCTCATGCCTGTGCCAAGTTGGAACCATGGCTAATCTCTACATTGGCACATCTGTAGGATGTTCTCTCTTGTTCTTGTAACTGATAGGTCTCCCAAGGATAATGCAAGAAATTGCCCTTTTTGAATGAAAGTTAAGTATCTTTGGAGTTCATTGTATTAAATGAATGGTTTATACTTAGTTGTGGGCTTGGAGTGCACATAATCTTTAGAGTAGGGAGATAAGAATGATGCAAGATTGGAGATTTGAAGAACTACACTGAACAATGTGTCGGACAAGACTGGACTATTGGAACAACAACAATAAAAAAGTATTATGTGGTTTTCCTGGGGAATATCTATGGGGAGGCGAATGCAAGTTCCCCGTTTCTGTTATATAACCCTCCCAGCCTTTTGAAGCTATGCCCTGAGAATTGGGTGTGTGGTAGCTTTGATTTCCTGTTGCATAAGATGAACATCAGAGGTGTAAGCTGAATAAAAGAAAGACTGAACAGTTCTGGTTTTGAAGCTGCGACAGTTATGAACTTATCAAGGGGAAAACCCAGCTGTGGGTTTTGAAGGACTGACACCTATCAGAACCCAAGGTGGAGCTGGAGTGGCCCAGGTCAGCTTTTTAGAATGCACATTGGTTCTTTTATTGTTTTAATAGGTTTGATCAGTTATGCCTTTAAACTTTAGGACTAAATGCACTTGCTTGTAAAAAGCTGAGTGATAACTTACAACTGCAGGCACAAAGTGTTCACAACTTCTGCCAGGGAAAGCAGAAGCACAGATCGCTGGCTATGTAGGCAGCCTGGTTTGCTGGGAATATCACTGTGAGGGAAATGTAAAGGTTGGAAAGTTCCTGGTCAAGAGGGAGGGAGATGTGGGTCTCTGCCCGAGAGAGGTATGGGGAGCCGGGAGTCTGGAATGGGTACTCTTGATGGACCACAGAGCGAGAATACAGGGGCAGTTGTCCTGCACTGTGACGGCTCACTCAGTGCTTTGTTTTACTTATGACACCATGTGAAGAGCTAATGCAAAGAGCTACTCTGGGAAGCCATTTGCAGTGCTCCACAAGAAGTTTTATTGGTCCTACAAAACTCAGAAGTTATGCTACATGTGCTTGAGTGCCATATACTGTCAGGTTATCTATTAACTATTTATATATGCACAGATGCAGAGCACTATGTATGTAACACCGTATTGTTTTCTGCATTCTGGTAGCTATTGAATTCACCTGTATTTTGTCACAAATCAATTGGGCTGTGTCTAGACTGCATCCCTTTTCCGTAAAAGGGATGCAAATTAGACACATTGCAATTGCAAATGAAGCGGGGATTTAAATCCCCCCCCGCTTCATTAGCATAAAAAGGCCTGCCGCTTTTTTCCGTCTCGGAGCTTTGCCAGAAAAAAGCGCCAGTCTAGACGTGGATCTTTCGGAAAATAAAGCCTTTTCTGAAAGATCCCTTATTCCTTATTTTAAGGAATCCCTTATTCCTTATTTTTATTTTAAGAGGAATAAGGGATCTTTTGGAAAAGGCTTTATTTTCCGAAAGATCCGCATCTAGACTGGCGCTTTTTTCCGGCAAAGCTCCGAGCCGGAAAAAAGCGGCGGCCATATTTATGTAAATGAAGCGGGGTGGGGGGGGGTTTAAATCCCCGCTTCATTTGCAATTGCAATGTGTCTAATTTGCATCCCTTTTACGGAAAAGGGATGCAGTCTAGACACAGCCTTGTTGATGATGGTAGTAAGCCAGCCAAGGCAAAACCAGATACTAAATCTCATAGCATGACTATACAGGTTTGCAGCAGGTGTCTCAGCTAGTCATTATTATGGACCATTCTGCTTATACACTCTATGGAGCAGTTTTGGAATGGTTTAATATCTCAGATAAAGCTTAAGCATCTTGTTATGGTCTCTCAAAATTATTAATACCCAGAAAAAACAGCACCCTTGTTACCAAATGATGTATGGAACTAAACTGACTCCTGCATTCTGAGACACATCCATTTCTTACTATATAGTTTTTGTTAGCTAGTTTTTAACTCATGGTGTGAATTTAGCCCTTAGCTTGTGGGTTATTTATTTCTTTTAATACTCTCATGCAAGGCTTTTTCAAACTATATCCATTGACTGTCTCTTTTCATTCCACATTTGGCATTTCTGTTGAGGCTTTTATACCACACTCATCACTTCAGTGTAAGGTAAATCTCTCAAAGAATCCTAAAAGGCTTGAGTTTAACTTTTTCATGTATTTGCTAGTTTGTTTTGAACAAGCAGCTGCTAATCCTCAATATATTTCTCTGTAGTGCTACTGCTTCACTTTTCTGTATCCTCTGATCTCTAAAATAAATACAAGTGAATACATTATCTGATTAATTTCATTTTTTTCCCCTACGTATTTTTCACAAACCAATCCAGATTCTTACAACGGTGTTTATGTATTCACTAGACAATTGTGCACAAATTTCAGCATCTGAATTGTTCATGATGTCTTCACTATTTACTATGATTTATCAAATTGTATTGGATAGTTACCTTCTGTTTGATACATGATATCTTTTTGTTCTCTTATTGGATGACTGAAACTTTTACTATTAGAATAATGAATAGCAAAACAAAAATGGATACAATGAGTATCACACTTCCAATATGAATAATTACGTGTGCCTTTTAGGGTTTATGAAGATTTTATTGAATAAACTTACCAATAATCCAAATTCATATGAACTTGATGATTTCTATGACCGCATGAATAAAAGCAGTACAAATTTGCCACATATATTCAAAAAATATTTGTGATTGCTTTTGTATTGTATCATTCAATGTGGCATTATTTGACAAACTCAAATATTATCTGGTCCTACTGATTAATATATTGCTCTTGATTTTCTCAGATTGCTTTATCATTTGCTTTTCTTAGATCCTTATACAAACTAAATATTGAATTCAATTGTGCCTGTAAACTGCAGGATTGGACACCAGGCTATGTCTTCTCTGTAGAGTTAACTAATAGATGATCAGTGCCCAGGTGTTGAGCAGCCACTGCAAAGCTGCATGCGAGTTACTGTGTGCTGTGCTCTCCCATGTGAGCTGCTGGTTCTTTGTTGCAGGAAGCTGAGCAACTCTATAATTCTTTCCAAATGAATTTTGATCTGTCCTTCTGGGGAGATTGGGGGCACCCAAGGTTACAAGAGGGCTGTCAGTGCTCTAGTGGTTTAGCTGGTGCCCTCACTGCAAAGTGAAAGTGGTACCTGTATAGCTCCACACAGGACCACTAACCTGGACTGAAATCACCACTGAACTCAGGAGAGAGGTTTTGTGAGTGTATTGGGAGAGGGATTGTGGCAATACCCCAATAGGAGTGCGTCTACACAGCATCCTTACGTCCAAATAAACTATGCAATTTGCACTGTGCAAATTGCATGGATTATTTCTATGTAATTTTCAAATTTGAAATTTGGCACTATCTACACAGCGCCAAATTTTGAAATAAGGTGCTATTCAAAAGCGTCCCTTATTCTTGTGCAATGTGGTTTACAGGGATGTCGGAATAGTGAGCCTGTTATATTTCGATACAACAGGCTTGCTCTTAAGATGCAGAATAGCTATTTCAGAATACTGGAGGTATCCCAAAATAGCCCCGCTGTGTAATCGTAGCCTAAGAGCTGAGTCCACTCTATGCTGAAGTCATATCCAGGGAGGGCTGGATTCTTCCTTTGCTCAGCAAAAAGTGGGGTTTGGGTGGTGGAGCCTCAGGGAGAAAGTTGTTGTTTCCTAATCTGTGGCTGGTCTGTCATCCCAGGGGCTGCTCTAACTTGTGCCAGCAGTGTGTTGCCTTGTGGGAATTGGTCTAACATAGCTCTAATCAGCTCCTTTCTTGTCCCTTGCATTGCTCCTATGCTGAAGGGAGAGCGGTTGGAACAAGAGTTGGCTCTAAAGCTTCCCTGCTGCTAAAAGAGCTGTCAGCTGCCCAGTCCCAGTTAGAATCTGGCTTCTTTGTGTCAGATGAGCCAGGTCAGAAATTAAAATCTGGTTGTTAATTGTCCTGGAGACCCTTATACACTCATCATCATATGACCCACAATTCCTGATGATTAAGCTGGATACATGCAGATAGCTTCCTGGGTTGGGACTTAAGTGTTTCTTAAGAGAAAATCAGGGCTAGAAGTAAGCGCTTCACCACATCTAGCTTACTGATAGTGTTCAGGCACCTGTTTCTTATTCTGATCATCATGGTGTCAGAGCTCAATCCTGCAATGGCAGTGAATATAGTTCATTCTCTATGATAAACCGGTGTAATTTGGGAGAAAAAGTTTTTTTTGGGCGGAAATTCCACATTTGGTTAAAGAGAAGGATAGCTCTGTGTGGCAGGCTGTTTTATGTATTTATTTTAAGTGACTGCTGCTTTCTCAACTCAGTTTTCAAATGTTAAAGTATTTCTGGTAGAGATGAATTACCAAGCAGAATACAGATAAAACAGTAAAAAGTGCAAGATAAAAAATTGTCCAGTGGCCTTTTAGCACTGGAATATCAGCAAGCGTGTGCACGCGTATCCCCCACATCCACCTCCCCCCTGTATGTTTGGATGTGGGTAGATATAAAATATGTGTATTCAGTAAGTTCCTAATAGATTTGTTTTTACTTTTTTCAGAATAGAAAACCAGTAAGAAGGTATGTACTTGGATAGTAAAGATGACGGCACAATCACTAGAAATCTAGAGATGGAGCTGACTCAGACATCCTCTCCTCACCATGCTAGCTCACACGGAAAGGTGGCGGCTGAACCAATTGCCAGCAACTTAAATGAGCTCTTGAAGGAGTTTCACGGAATGGTGGCTATTCAGGGACAGCCACAAATACCGTATCAAAATGGAGCAGTAGGCCAGGATTGCTGTGTTCCCCTTGGGAAAGATTTCAATCCACTCGCCATGCAGGGGAGGTAAGAACAAGATCAAACTGAATCAGTTTCTTTTATTGAAAGTTGTTTTTATTCCCTGACAGTGTCGATAAAATATATTTTATTTAACATCTTTCTATAATGGATGGAATGAAAAGCTCAGTAGGAATTTATAGCAGTCGTAATTACTAAGAGATGGTGACTGGCTCAGCAGGTTCCCGGACTAATATCAGCTCTTACAGCTGCTCTGCATCGATTTTTCTGTTTTCCGAATCTGAGACCTGGGTTTTCTTCCTCACTCTGTGTGTTTTGTGATGGGTTTGTTTAACCAACAGGGAGAAAAACATCTTTGTTTTGATAAAATGACACACAAATTAGCAAACTATTTCACAAGTCTACATCAAGGCAATCAGCTGCATCACTGCTGAGAAGGGCTATCATCATAAAAAGACACCAATAATGCAGTCTTGAGAGTAAGCACAACATAATACCAAACGTGATTGTTTAGGGTCTGATTACTTCGGGTCATGAGCACCTGTTAGGAGATGTTTTCTATACTCTCTCTGTAGCCAGTGTGGCAGTATCAGGACCCAAATGTGTGCAATTCTATTTTTATGTTTAAAATAAGGATTCCAAAATATTGTATTGCAAGTGGCTGTATAATCTTTCCACTCCCTTCTTCATTTTGCTGTAGAGTTTTGACTCAGGAAGATAGCAGTCTCAGCTTCTAAAAAACAGTTATCGTGTAGCAAAATCAAACCTGAAATAAATAGAATAAGCACTCCAATGAGAGTGGGGGTGGAAATGAAAGACATTTAAAACCGTCGTCAAGAAACTTCAGTGGTTCTGAAGATTCTTGATATCTATTTCATAGATTTATTTAAGGCTAGAAGGGATGATTGTGTTAATCTAGCCTGGCATTCTTCTTAACACAAGCCACAGGATTTAGATGTTTCATTCCACCGAAAATGAAACGTTTCATTTAGATTTTGAGCATTTAAAATGTTTTTTGCATTTAAAAATTGCAGAAAAAAATCAAAACAAAATAACTTTTGAACTGAAAAAAGTTTCATCTTGAAACTATAGAAGTGAAACTTTTTTAGACTTTGGAATTTTTTTATTTTTTGATGTGAACAATTCAGTGAAGCTGATACAAATCCATAAAATGTTTAGGTATCACTAAATACACACTTTTGCAAACAAAGTGCTCTATATGTAATATAAACATATGCTGTGACATTATATACCTTGGGAAAACACCTTGTTACCCCAATATTCTTCGTTTGTATGTAATTGTGATTTTGCATGTAAAGCAGGCCATGTAAGGGATCGGGGGAAAGGCTATGATCTGGTGAAAGTCCCTGTTCTATCAAACTATGTATATGGTTAGTGCATATGAAGTTATAAGATTGTGTCATATGGTTGTCAGTAAAACATGCTGGAAATTGGCCAGATATTAGCTCACCAGAAACAAGAACAAAAAACAAAACAAACAGACAAACAAAAAATTCCTGGCAGGTATCAAACAACTATCAACAGGCATTGTTCCACAAAGGTGTCATAATTCAATGACTTACCTGCAAAAGATTGCACCAGAGGAATTGTTTAAACTTGCCTGGTGATGCAACAATGTCCACTAGACATACTTGGAGTTATGTTCCTCAAGCATGTGGAGTAAGGGTATAAAAACAGAATATAGGGCTCCCTGCTTGGTCTTTCTTCTGATTTCACCTATGCTACAGGAAACAAAGCCCTGAGAAGACTGAAGATTCCAACAGAGGAGACTGGCCCAGGTTTTAAAAGTGAAATCTTTGCACTGTGCACTGAGAAAAATGACTTATTCTTTTTGTTGCTCAATCTAACAGGGTTGAAAGTTGAGACTGCATGCTTATTTCATTTCTTTTGGTAACTAACTGTGACTTTTTGCTCATCAGTCACATAAAATCTATCTCTTGTAGTCAGTAAATTTATTTAACTATATATCTTTAGCAGTGAGCTTGCCTGAAGTGTCTGGTAAATTACTCAGATTTTCAAAAGCTAGTGTATATTCACTTTTCATTGATGAAGTGGTGAACCAAGTATTATTAAATTTGCACTGTTTATGGAGAAGGCATATTCAGGAGGTACAGTACTGGAAGCTGGAGGAATTTGACTTGTGCCTTTTTCTGTGTGATTTATGAGTGGCTCTGAGAGCATTCAAGCAATCTAACTGGGTATGGGATTCCACAGATTGTTGTGCTGAGTGATAACAGCACCTAGAGGGGTTTGCTGCTTGTCACTAGAAAAATTGTCTGAGACACATCCCAGGTTGGAGACTTAAGCAGCAATCCCAGGCTGCAACCTGAGGATCCCCTCACATATGCGCTGACCTGGAAAACTATTTTTTTCTATTCTGTTTTCCATTTGTTATTTGGACCTTCATGTGGTTGTGGAGAAAAACCCAAGTTAGGGTTATCAGTGGGACATAATTTGTCTGCCCAATCTGCATGCATTTTAGAGTAAAATAGCCTTCAGAGAGAAATGTGGAAATCTTTAACAATTGAAAATAATTACAATAACAATAATTATTATTAATAAAAATCAACTTGTACTTCTTTTATATTCTTCTTGTTAGTATTTAAGGAACTATACAAAACTCCAAAGGGTTTGGGAACATAATCAAATAATATAAAAATCTCCTTAATTCTTAGAGAGCCAATGGATGTATCAAGGTGTGTGTGTGTGTGTGTGTGTGTGTGTCTCACAAACATGATGACAGTAAGTGGAGTGTGAGGAAAATGGGGTGGGGTGTTTTGGGGAGCCAAAGACATTTCTTTTTGAAAGTCTCATCTGTGCCAGTATTGAATCACACTGGTAAATAGTGCTGACACACAGGAACTGCCCAGTTAATACATGTGGCATTTTGATGTTGAAAACAGCATAAAATATAGACATTAGAAATGAATAAGACATATTAGATCATTGTTTACCTTTCTCATCTGATGTAGGCCTCTCTTTTTCCCCCACACAAACACATTTTCTGATTTCTATATGTAAATACTTTTAACTTAATAAATGAACCTTGCAGCATTTTAAACTCCCATTTATTTTTTATCATGCATTTTATCCAGTCTTCTGATAGCAACAATCTGCATCGAACAAGTGATGCTTTCAAGTGAAATATCTGCAATAATAGGACATTCAGTTCTGGATCTTGCAGTCATTTACAGTTGTGTATAATTTTCCTCCTCTGAATAATTCTGTTGAAATCAATGGGACGACTCCTCATAGTAAAATTAAATACATGAGTAAGTCCTGGCATGATCACAGCCTCAAAAAGTGTGGTCCGTGCAATTCCAGAGTAATGAAAATTTCACTTCTGATGATGTTTATTTTGGTGCTTACAGCTGAAGATTATTACTGATTAAAAAATATGAAGAAACAAACAGAAACTGGCCTAGTTGCAGAAAATAATCCATTAATTTGAAATGCCTGTGTAATTTGTTTTAATATATCTATTTAAGTTAAATTGGTCAATTATCTTTCAAGAATAATAATCTCAAGGTGTCTAATTGTTCAAATGTATGCCGAAGCAAGCTGTTTCAATGAAGCTATTTAGAAGGACTGCAGATTTACTTCAGTCAATAAAATGAACTTTAAGAAACTGTTCTTAAATTAACTGGCCACAATTATTTGTGGGAGGAGAATGTCAATGAACCCTCCTTTGCATTTGCCCTTCATTGCTGCAGTGTGCAGAGGCACAGACTTTCTAACGTGCTGAGGAGGTGCTCCTCCTGGTTGCACGCTAGACCCTGCCCCCACTCCACCCCTTCTCACAAGACCCCAACGCAGTCGTGCTTCTTTCTGCCCCGTTCCACTCATGCTCCCCCCTCTTCTCATCCCTTTCTGTCCCCTCCCCTAAGCATGCCACACACTCATTCCTCCCCCTCGAACCTCCTGCAGAATGGCTGATTGGAGAGGGTGGGAGGCACTGGTGGACAGGCGGTGCTAGGGGGAAGGATTGCTGGAGGTGGGCTGCTGGTGGGTACTCAGCACCTACTATTATTTTGCTGTGGATGCTCCAGGGCTGGAGTCAGTGCCTATGGTAGTGTGTACATACCACAGGGGGTGTTTTGCCTTTACTTTGCGCGCGTGCTTGTTCCAGGGTTTGAGGTCAGTTATTGAGTCTTCACTAGCTGCCATTTTACCTACCAAATCTTCTGACTTCACCTGTGACGCTGGTGTCCCACCTGACTCTTGCTTCCTTCTTCAATGGCTCAATGGCAATGAGCCAGGATGGGTAGGAACGGTGTCCCTAGCCTCTGTTTCTCTGGAGGTGGGTGATGGGAGGGATCATGAGAGGATTACTTGTTGTGATGCCTCCTCTGGGGCATCTGGTATTGGCCACTGTCAGCAGACCAGGTACTGGGCTAGATGGACCTTTGGTCTGACCCAGTATGGTCATTCTTATGTTCTTCTTCTCCCTAACCTCAACTGACCTACAGCCCTGGATCATTTCTGGGGTTTGTATATATTTCTCTGATGCTTCTGCTATCTTTCACTTTCAGGAATAGTATAGTGGACTTCATTAAACTGGATAGAGGTCTGAGCAGATATTTCTTACGTTCATAAGAATTGTGGGTTGTCTCACTGATTCAATAGTTATCAACACTTACAATATGCAGAGCTGTTGCAATTTACATGTACTGTAAATATATGACACTGGTTTTCAGGTACTTTTTAAATGCAAATTAATATGTTAAAAGCATAGTCATTTTAGGGCTTATTTGTGGGGTTTGTATCAAAATTTGTAAGACTGTAGTGACTAATACAGTTATTTCCTCTTCCTGACAAGGTAGTAACTTCACAGGTTCCCATTGTGCTAGCCCATGTGCAAAGAGGGGTGGAAGATAATCCCTATTCCGATAACCATCTAATTAAGAGTGGATGCAACCTGTGGGAGTAACAATCAGAAGGAATTGTGTATAAGGAACCAGGGAAACAAAAATAAACTTCTACAGATAGGCCAAATAAATACATTAATATCAACTGTTATCAGTTGC